CCGGTAAATCCCTCATGGATTTACTGGATGGATTCACCAGATGATCCATCAATCGCAGAAGATCCTTATCTTCCGCGTATGCCTTTCGTACGTCGTCAAGTAAACTTGACGACGGGACACTGACTGACAGTGTCGCAACAGTGGGCTTATCCTCACTGTTGGATTTGTGCGTCCGGCTCGAAATCGGGCCGGCGCGAAAGCGCATCAGCGACGACATTGAGTCGTCCTGGTTTATACTCCACGGAGAAGTTATAATCCGCGAAGAAAGACAGCCACCTCGCCATTCTTTGCGAGAGGTGTGGGCTGTTTACGGCCGTGCGTAATGACGCATGGTCCGTGTAGACAACAAACGGTCTATCTCCCAAGAGATAGACGCGAAACTTAGCCAGTGCGTATTTCATGGCAAGGAGTTCCTTGTCATGCACTGGGTAATTACGCTCAGCTGCTTGCAGCTGACGCGACTGATAACAGATGACGCGCTCCGCGCCATCTGCATCGAACTGCATTAACGCACAGCCGATTGCAAAATAGCTGGCGTCACAGACCACATGAAATGGTCTGTCCTGATCTGCAATCGCCAAGATCGGCGATTGCATCAAGCTTTGCTTGATACCTTCAAAGGAACGCTGGCACTCAGCGTTCCATAACCACTTGACATTTTTCTTGAGCAAGCAAGAAAGATGAACAGTCATCTCGGCGTAGTTGCGCGAGTACTTGTGCAAGTACGCCGCAAGACCAAGGAACTTCCTTAGTCCCTTGACATCGACTGGCACTGGCCAGTCGGTGATCGCCTTGATCTTTTCGGGATCAGGGCGTACGCCGTGTTTACCCACGATGCACCCAAGAAGTGGTATTTCGCTAGCCGCGAATATACACTTCTTGAGGTTGGCGTACAGCTTATACTTGTGCATAAGTTGAAGAACCTGACGAACGTGAGTTCTGTTAACTTCAACGTCCGTCTTTCCGTCCATATCCCGGCTATGGACGAACACATCGTCGAAGTAACTCGGTGCGAAGTCTCGCACCGGTCTCAACAGATTTGTGACACATCTGTTGAATGTTGCAGGGGCATTGCTCAGCCCCTGTGGCATCACTAGCCATTCCCACAGCATCCCGCTGGGGGTACTCACTGCCGTGAACGGGATGTCCCGTTCACGCATGAGGATCTGATAGAATCCATCCATCAGATCCATGGACGAAAAGATGGTACTCTTTGACATACCATCTATGATTACGTCCTTCCTCGGTATCGGCGTCTGAGCCGGTACCGTTGCAGCATTCAATTTGTTGAATGCGTGCACTATCCGCCACCCTCCTGTGGCCTTTCGCACACAGAAGGTCGGAGAGCTGTGAGGGGATGTTGATTCCCTCACATGGCCCGCTGCTAAGCGATCGGCAAAGAACTTGTCGATCGCTAGTCACTTGTTCACGAGGCAGTGGCCACTGCTTCATGACACAGTATTTCGAGCCCGGTTTGAGCTCGATCTCGTGTCGAGTGCCTTTGTCCTTAGGCAACTCGCAAGGTACGGATTCAGGGAACACATCCCTGAATTCGATCAAATCCTTATACAAAGGATTTGTTTGAAGTGACTCCCAGGATTGAGACGTGTATCGCTCAATCCGAGTCTTCTCATCGAGGACACTTTCGTCCATCGATGAGCTGCTGAGAACCCGTTCGTTCTCAGCAAATACTGTTGCCGACCGAATGTCGGTCACATACTCGTCCTCTGTGACGAGTACGCAGATCTGCTTGACTTTGCCACTACGCAGATCACGCAAGAACCGTTTCGGTTCTAGCGTTGGCAACTGAGTTATCTCCGAAGTCAACTTCGGAGGCACAATCAGATCAAGCGTATAAGCGCCTACGCTTGATCCGTCATTAACCAAGACGTTCAACGTCTCGGTTTCTTCCTGGGATCTTGCTTCCACAGGTTGCTGAGGGCCTGATCCCTCAGCAAGCAACTCTTGAGGAATTCCTTCCTCAAGTACGTGGGGACTTATTCCCTCGACGTCTTCCGACTGTGGCTGTGCAACCACAGTCAGGCACCGATCCTCTACGGTCGACTCTCCAGTCGACCTAGGATTTTCATGTTGCCCCTTGGGGGCAACAGGTTTCTTTCTTCTAAGATGCTGCCCGCTAGGCATGCATCCATGTCCCGGTCCACTCGACTTATTCGAGTGGTGGACCTTCGGCGCAGCCTGTACTTCTGTACAGCCGCCGGGAGCTTGCTCCACAGTGTAGTGATCAACTACACTGTGATCTTGTGCAGTCGTGCTAACGACCGTACCGCAAGTGAGGCCATCGCACTCACTCGCAGAACATCCACACGCTTGTGGACGCTCCAAGATGTTCATCAGATGGCCATCTGATGAACAAGCGGCAGGCATCTTCACGGATCGATGCTGCCAGCTCACCCTTGGCTCGTAACTTTCTGAGCCAAGGTAATCCCAGGATGACATCAAATTTGTCATCCAGATCCAGTACGATGAAGTCATCATCGTACTGTTCGCCCTCTAACGTGTAGTGGATTCCTACTACACGTTTCTTAACGGTAATCGATGCGCCTGTTGCAAGGCGCACCGTCATCCTTGTGAGGGGAATGTCGCGCTCAACGAACTTGAGCCTACGACCCTCTAGTGACTGGCGACGAACAAAGTTGTTCGACGCCCCACAGTCTACTAGGGCACGAAGCGACAAATCATTTGTCGCTTCCAACTTCAAGGTGATGAGCGAAACGTCATCATCAGGTGCAGAGACACACAATGATTGTGTATCTGGAGCAACTTTCGTCAAGAGATTTGCAAATTCTCTTGAGGTTGCTGGATCAGTAGGGCGCTCCGCCCCTACTGACCCCGACCATTTTTTGATGGTCCGTCTCGCTGTTGTGGCTTCGCAACAGCGCTGGACCCACGCCCATTGCCCTTTCTGGAAAATGGTCGTCCATTTCGCTCAGTACTGTTTGGTACTGGGCGTGGAGCACTACACTCGTATGCGTAGTGCCCTAACTTCTGACAGCGATTGCACCTCTGCAATCGCTTGTTGTTTGAAGAGCGAGGTCTCTCGCTCTCAACATAGCAGAGGTCCATTGGTTCTGGACCTCCGATCTCTTGTCGTCTCGGTGGACGGTAAGAGTTTGAGCTAGCATGAGCCTGTCTCATGCTAAAGTCTTCCTGTTCCGCGGCTGATATCGCTTCTTCCAGCGTATTCAGCTCAAGGCGGAACAGGTGGCTCCTGACGGGCCCTTCTGCGAGCCCTTGCATGAACACCGTAATCAACGTGTGTTCATGTACTGGGTTAGCAGTTATACTACTCGCAAGGAGTCGTATATGTTGTGCGTAAGCGTGCACATCACGCTTACCCTGCTTGAGTTTCAGGAGCTCTGAACGAGCCCTGAACTCAGCCCGTGGCGGCTCAAACGTTTGTCTGAGCCGGGACTTGAAGTCATCTAGCGACCTAAACACGTTTGGGCCGCTACTCTCGAGCCCCAGGGACCAAGTTTTGGCACGTCCTGCCAAGTGGGTTTGAGCAAATGTGAGTTTCATTTGCTCATCTTCGACGCGACGAGCCCTTAAGGCTCTGTCGAGTTCGACAAACCATAGTAACAGGGAGTCTTACGGGACTCCACTGTACTTGGAGATGTCAACTTTCATGACCTCGGGACGACGCGCATGCGCCGTCCCACCCACAGCAGCATGGAATTGCTGCTGTCTCAACAGCTCCGTCTGTTGAGCACCGAGTTCTCTCAACTGCTCGGCCTGCTGAGAGCCTTGCTGGTGAAGCAAGGCTACTTTCTCCCTCTCGAGAGCAAGTTCATTCTGAATGAACTTGGCAATAGCGGCATGTTGTTGGTCTCTGTCTAGAGACTCCAACATGGTGCTAACGACGAGTTCGCCTACGGTGGAACTCATATCGTTCTACCGCACCCCATTCGATGTCACTCAAATGGGTAAACCCTTCACGCGTGGCGTGAAAGGTGTCTTCTTCATCCAACATGTTCATGTTGGATGATGTGGTCCTTGGAAGGACTACAAAGTGCTACCAGGTGTAACGGGGCACACCCTTGCGTGAACTTAATGCAAGGATACCGGTGCCCCGACAGACGTACACGTGGCAAGCGAGGAAGCGTAGGTAGGGTAAAAGTAGAACTGTTATATTGATATAATCAAGTCTTTTAACTACTGTCTCTTCGTTTGACTTAGTTTAACTATACTAATATAACTGGATGTATGGTGACGTCTCGTCACCACTCATTGCGCGCGTCTTGCGGCGATTGGTGGGTTGATATCATCACGATATCAACCAATGAATAGACCCTTTGGTCGACCCTTCAATATCACCACTTTGGTGATATTGTTTAAAGAATATCCATCTTTATATTTCTTTATTGTCACTTTCCTTAAAGTGACAATTTCATGTAACGGGCTGCCCCGTTACAGGATAGTACTTGCCTAGCAGGTACTGTGCCTCGTTTAGCTGCTTTTTTCTAGACACTCGCCTTGTCACTTTGTTTACTTTTCTTAGCTCATCACTGCTTAACTCCTCAACGTCCTCAACTTCACGGCACCTCAAAGCTTGTTGCGATTTCTAACACGCACTTCTTCAACGCAAGTCAGTCCCTTTGGATAACTTCTGCTTAGTTAGACAAGTCCGTGGACCTAGAGCCATAAGCTTATCACGGGTCAGCGGCTTAGTCGCGATGTCGGATGGATTGTAATTCGTGTTGACATTTTACATGGTCCTTTTCGTCACTTAGTGTCTGACATCGAGCCATCGTATTTACTGTGTCTTGTCTGACGGCTGTATATTGTGCGATTCTTTCGCGTCCATGCGATCCAAGTACTTGATGAGCGTCCGAATGACAAAGCCGTGCGAGGATACTAGCACATCGCGCCCCGCTGCAAGATGCGGCATGATAAACGAGTCGAAAAATAGGATGGTCCGGCTGTGAAAGTCTTCATAGCTTTCGCCTTTTTTCCGGAAACCGCATGTAAAAATCATCTCAAATCTTTTGCACGTGCTCTCGCTCAAACATGACGATGTGCTTTGTGCTTGGCACTTCCTGCAAAACCAAAAACAGTCCATAACAGTAAACGCGAACGAAACACTCAACAACAACAACAACCACGAGCACACGCAGACCTGCAAGTCGCCGAAATTGCTCTCCTTGAGCGCCGGCGACATGTGCACTGAAACGATCCAGACCATCGTCACTACCGCATCAGGGACTGTCGATAAAAGAACATGACGTTTTCAGTAACATCAACTGCCACGTACAAAGTCGTAGGGACTCTTGTCACTCACCCCTTCAGACGACGGTTTCTCCAGCGGCGAGCAATGTTCCACAACAGGAGTCTTCTTGCTTGAATGCATACTCAACGCGAGCGACATGATCGTGCGTGCACGGTTCACGAACTGGGAGCGAAATACCACATCAATCGGCACAAACTCGAGCCGCTTTCCAGCTGCCAGCGCCTCTTGCATGCCCACTTCACCGTACCCATCACCACACGTCAGTCGCTTCCCCTTATCCCCTCTACTAGTAGTCTCTACACAGCACAATAAAAGACCTCCTCGCCTCAGGGGAATGTCAATTGATCCAGCGTAGCGCCACAGCTCCGTCGGCCGGTCGCAAACGCACGCACAGAGTCGCAGCACTCGCCGTCGCGGCAGCCGCACGATCAAACGTCTCTCTGGCGTTTCTGCCGTACGAGAACGCCGGAGCACGTGGCCACGACAGCCGTGAGCGCTGCGAGCGCCGAAATTTCCTACGCGACAGAAAGGCTCATATTGTGCTGCGTTCGCAGTCGCCTTTGCGTCCTGCGGATGATGATAGTGCACTTGTCTCTTTCCGTATCGTTACAGCACACTGTAGTACGACAAGGGAAGAAAACACACGTACTATACACATAACACTTCTGTACTTGTTGCTCCTGATGAGAAGTTACATCGACGAACACTGCACCCTTACAGTCCAAAGTAGAGCAGTGGAAAAACAATGGCAACACCTTCAACGACTTGATGGACCGATGCTTTCGTTCTCGCTTCAGTCGTAGCAGGTACGGCCGTCAGAGATGAGGTCAGGCGCTCGAACAGCCATTTTTTTCCTGCACGTCGAGCAGCTGCGTGGTAAGGCCCTTCTGTCGCTCGATAGTAGCTGGTGAACTGAGTGTCGCGGTCAGTGCCTCGTAAATCCACCGTCCCATTTGTACGGTATCGGGTCGTCGGGAGGGGGCTTGAGGTGGTGCACGTACGCTCTATAGAACATATAGTTAAAGTCTTTGTGCAGAAAGTCAAGTCGCTCACGCATGGTTTGTTTTGCCGTCTTGGCCTTCGAGAAGCTGTCTTCGACCTTGAGAAGTTCGAACACGTCGTTAGGTTGGAGTTCTTTCAGTTTCCACCACCGCATCAAGTCGAGCTGCATCTCGCTCGCGATAAGCTGTAGGCCCTCTTCCCCCGTACCAATCAACGCCTTGATCGTCGATACCACAGTGTCCTTGTGCTCCTCAAAATACTGATTTAGCACTTGCTCATCGCCCGCTTCGCTAGTAGCATAATTATACGTCGCCTGTCGGTGCGCCAGAGACATATCCTTTGCCAATTTGCTAACATCAGCGATGTGATCAATGTCTCTCGGTACGTGCGCCTTAAATGCGGCAAGTGCGCCTGCATATGTCTCGACCCACTTCAGCGCGTCCACTTGAATAGGAGGTTGTCTCTCCTCCTCGCCGTCGTCGTGACCCGATTGTAAGCGCCTCAGAGCAGGGCCACCGCCATTGTCAAAACTGGGGCTGGTGGGTTGGCCAGTTTGGACTGCTGCATCTGTTGTAGCAGATACAGCCGCACCAAGCAGCAGCAGAACAGCGGGGTGAAGACGCATGGTCGATGACTCGACGAATTGCTGAATGAGCGTTCGAAAAGTGAGTGGCAGAGCCCATCATTATGAGTTGTCGTCTGCCGTCGGCAATGAATACTGTTGCCACGGATCAGAAAGGAACGTGCAGAAATCGGTGCAAGCCAGGAAGCCCTCACCAGCGCGTAGAGAAATCCAGAAAGATCCTTGGCACGTGGCTTACTTTGCCCACGTCTACTCTTTGCGCACGAGCCCTCCCCCATCCTGGCGAGTCCATGAAACAGACCACGAGATGATAGGCAGATAAGTCGAAAGCCTGTGGTGCGGCTGTCCAACGACGTGGCATAAACATCCAAGATGGGCTCAACTGCAACTCTTCGTTGCTGGTCCCTGGACGAGACGTGGTCGATGATGTTTGCGTCGACCGATACCCAAGTGACAAGCACCGTTTTCCTCGAGCCAAAGTGCCGACGACAAATCCCAATCGTTTACGTGCTACGAGCATTAGCAGCGTATCACTTGTGCGCGTGGAAAGTGCTTGATGGGTAACACTGAGTTGTGACTAGGGGTCTTGATGACGCATCGTCCTACCCTCTCCTTTACTGCTACCGTGGAAATGTGACTAGAGTCTGACACGCGACCACAGCTTCGTGTCGTGCTCTGCACTGTACAAACAAAATGTCTTTGTCTGTGATGTAGTGTGTTTGCTTCGGTCGGTTGTGTCGATGATCTTGAGGCGTCACAACGTGACATTGTTTGATTTTGTTGGCCCGCTTGTTTTGTTACGAGGTCCGTCAGATGCAGAGACCACTGGTCTGAGCGGCGGAGATGGGGCAAAGATTGCATGGCAGCACCAAATCCGCAAGAGGGATATCTCAGTCCAGTCTGATCGCTGGGCAGAGTTTAGGCAAAGACGAAGGTAGCCTTTCGATGATTACGTGTGTCACGGACACGGTCTCCTTCGACGCCTAAATTGCGTGAAGTTGTCACACTTTTAGTGCTTAGTACGCTTCTTTCTCGCGCGCTTCTAGTATTGTTCACGCCAATTCGTGGAATGTGTCACTCGTACGTGCATTCTTCAGACGGAATTTAATCTACGTGCGCTCATTAAAATGTAGCTATTAATTGAGCTCTAAAATAACGGTAATCATGTTCATTATAATATCGCAAGATTTTCAAAAATAACGATATGCGATTAAAATGCGCTAAATGGTTATGTAAATAAAAGATGCGTCACAAGATAGAAACATTAAAAATGTCCCAACCATCAAACAAATATATAAAGAATGCTCCGGCGGTATATACAACATGTTCAAACGCATACATACTTAGAAAAAAATGACCTGGTTCGATAATGATGTTGTTGCTTGTATGCATATTGATGCCGTGGTAAATGGACAGAGATATCTTACCCAACCATTGCCGGATCTCGCATCGACCGTCGGGTCTCTGCTGACCATTTTCTACTTCACCACGAGAACAAGCGCCACGCAACATCATTCTCGCTGGATACGTAACATCTACAGCTCGTGCTGCATCTTTTTGTCTATAGCAAAAAAACTGACTTCGTCATGCGTGCAAACTAATTAATTAGTCGGCATATTGACAAAAAATAAACGAGGCACCGATTGCTACGTACTGGACTACCAGTACGGAGCCAAATCTCGCTGACAACATGAAGGTCAATGCCGTACTAGTTATATGCACTATACAGAGGAATGGTAAACGACTAAGGCAAGGACTCTAGTTGTAGTAAAAGTAAAACTGTTATATATATTTCTTTTTATTCTAATATAATTAAGTCCAACATTCTTGTTCTCTGATTTTACCCTAACTTAATTATATTAATATAACTAAACGTATGATGACGTCGACTCACCACCCATTGCGCGTGTCTAGCAGCGATTGGTGGGTTGATGTAATCACAATATCACCCAATGAGTAGACCTTTGGGTCATCTCAACAATAGCACTGTATCTAGTGATATGTTCAAAAGAATATTCAGCATAATATTATACATTACCATTTCCAACAGTCGTGATTTCATGTGACGGGCTACCCATTACAAACAAAGACATAACGAACCTGTTAGTGACGGCAAATTTATCCATCATGCAGGCAATCGCATCCACAAGACATTCCAAATGTTGTCGGTGACAAGTGTGTATCTGTATCCATGTTTGTTGATATATAGACGCCTTCCTACATGCCGAAGGACTCTTCTGTCCCGTTTGTAGAGATAATAAGGTCTATGTCCGGCATGGAGATAGTCTTTGGGTATACAAAATATTATCAAACACCTACATTAGCAGCTGCATTAGCACCAGAGCATATTCGTCAGATCTCCATACACACCTACACCTGTTGCTTGTCTATGTTTCATCTAAAGCTGCCTTAGGTCGTAGCTCAAACATCCAGCACAGCATTGTGTACGCGCCATTGAAAGACGATGCTGTCTCATCGTATTCCTTCATCACTCGAATATCGGTTCGACATCTACATATCAATACATTAGCAAATCACATAGGTTCGATGAAAGGGTCAGAAGCACGTGGCCGACATATCGAAACCGACATGAGCACTTCAAGACTACGTTTGAAGCGTCAACTTACCTTCTACTTCGTAAAGTTTGAGTGGTGATTGACAAAGTATTGGGGGATGTGAGATTATGACAAATAAGACATGCAACGTACATGTAGATGCATGATAATAGACATTGTATATTTGATCGTATAGTATACATATATAAAGCACTTTATTATAATTCTGATCATTCGGCGCACTTTCTTCCTTTACAATCTTCCAGTGTATTTTTAGACGTATGTACACTTTTCATAGCACACCCTACTAGTATATTATACTATCATATAGAAATATTTGTTCGTCTTTACATGGCTATCAGCATGATCTTAATTCAAATGAGCGCTCGATAACTTGCCCATGATTTTGTTCAAAACGGCGAAGTTTATTAATACATGTGTCGCCATGACATAGGCGGGTTATTGTGAATCCCCATGCGAAAATATTTCGGATCTCGGACATACTTGCATCAACAACGTTGCGTAAGTTTTTTCCTTCCATACATGCTTCGCATGCCTCAATATATTCTGCCTCAGCTGTTGACTAAGTCACTATGCTCTGGTGTCGCGATGTCCACGAAATCGCACTTGTAGCAAGAGCCATATCCAGTTATACTTACGCGGATAATCGATCGTTTTCAATTCCGAATTGCAGTATCATGAAGATTAAAAATGGTTCTTGGCTCATCATCTTGTTTCGGAATTACTCAGTTCCCTGACTCGCTCTGCCAATTGAGTACCTATTTCCAGTAGAACTTCTCTTAGCTATTACAATTGTTCAGATAAAAGAGGTAGTAGAGGATAATAAGTCAAAGGGGTACGGTATTCACGTGATCGACATACAATTGTACAGTATTGAGGGGTGCATACTTGTCACATTGGGCCGAAACCATTTTATTTAGTACGAAGGGTGATAAGATAATAGAATATTAGCTAAAATGGGATCTAATTTACCCGTTTGGATGCAACAATTTGATGCTAAGCCGAGTTATGCATATATCGATTAAGCTGCCCAATAGGAAGTACAAGGCCAGGTCTGTCACACGTCGTCAAGTACACTAAAGAAACGATTAGTCCAGGAAGTACCTGCAAAAAGCAGATAAAAGGTCTTGCCATTTGCAAAATACTTATTAAGAACGATCCACATCTGTATTCATGACAGCAACAAGCATGTTGTAATCATATGAATTGCGGGAGGTGTGCTTTACTGATTGTGAAAGCACTTGATAAATTCTTCACGGTATCTCGTCCGATGAATATTGATCGCGTCATCCGTTCTCCCCACCTTTACACCCGAGTATAGTCTTAATCGTCTTTAACCCTAAGCATGCCATTATTGTTTATCTACTCAAAAAGCTTTCGTTGTATTGCCGCATTGTTAGTGTCACACAGAATGTCGTCTACATCGAGAATAGCCATTGCAAAATTGCCATCTCGGACATAGAAATAGAGACATGGCTCCGTTCCTCATTTTGTAAAGCCAATGTCAACGAAATAGCTGTTTATTTGATGTTTTCATGCTGTTTCAGACTGGCATAGCTCAAACAAGACTTACTCGATAATGTAGATTGTCCTTTCTCACATCGATAATATTCCTCGACACCTTCCAGGTACTGCTTGGTGTTCAATGTTCCATTCAAGGAGGCGGTATTCCTATCCCCTTATTACATAGCGAGACTCAATTAGATACATACAGCAACAAACATCTGAAATGTGATCACTGAGCCACAGGAGAGAAAGTATTATTAGAGTTGATACCTGGACGCTGTTCGTCACACCGTGCGACAAGTTGCGCCCCAAATAATACCACGCATCCCAGGTGGTCTGGCTTTACACATAATATCAGCATCGTCTTATTTGTTTGCTGTCCACTCAACAGTTTCGACCGCGGGATTTTCCTCAGTTTTCCATTAGCTTTTATAGCAGCTGTTTGAATCTATGCCTCCGCGCCACGTTGTACTTACTTTGAATGTATATCCTGTAAATTGTTATTGGGGATCTCGATGTTCTGTACGACACTCATTTTCATGTGCATCATGCTGTCCAAGAAAGTTCCCGGGCTTGACTCTATATACTGTATACACCATAAGGTCTTCTAGCCTTTCATGTTCTCATCAGTTTATATGTTCATAAATTATTTACGATGCAACCTCACCGCTTTAAGTCTATTCCCATACATATCAATACGATTTTCATCGCGCGTTCTACATACATCAATATTCACGAACGTCTATTAACTAATAAACCAATTTGACGGAAGTGTTATTTGTTGATCAATCACATGAGGCGCTATGACCTTACACTGATCAAAAGGATAAAGAAAGGCATAATTGCGAAGATCATCGTGTTTTGATGGTATGGTCTACCAACACCAAATTGGGTACACCTTCGGCTTTAGATCCGCTGACTAATTCGTCAGATTTATCGTCCTGTACGTCACCAAAACCA